AATTTTCTTCTCAATAATAAAATAATATCGTATTGCTCGTCACACATGGCCTTAATTTAATAATTTATCATTGTTTTTATTGTCATACGAGCTTGAGCATTGGTATGTGATGTTTTGATTAGGTATTAATTTTGCATTGCGAATATTTAGTTTTTTTATATATTTTTCTATTGACTATACTGATCAATAAATCCTTTTCCACGATTAAAGTACTTATAAAAACGGACCGCGCTTATTGTAATACACTCATCGAATAAGGTAACAAATTACCTACAAGGTAACGATCCCGGGATCAATCTCTTATCTAATCCATATATATCTCGAGATATAGTTCATTGATTCATATTTGTTGTACTGTATATGTGCTTGCGTGTTGAACATCTTTCATAAAATACGTTGAGATAATATTCCTTAATATTATATACATACTGACTTTTGATTGAGATAATAATTACATTTCCTTTGATATTCATATAATTTGTACGTATCCACCTGTTTTATTGTCATATAGAATAAAGAGGACATAACTAGACACGTCACACGTATACACATGTGATTTCCAATACATTATGTTACTGTCCGTCTTAATCATAACACAAATCTCAATCATATAATATGTTGTGTGCTTCGTGAAAGGCACAAGGGGTCGCGCCAAATTGGGATGAGGATCCGGGGCGTCAGGGCTTATATCGGGTTGATTTAATAAATGCACTTCACCTTTTCACTTATTAAAGAATTTTTATTCACATCACCACTTGACTTTCCTTTATTTCAATAATGATACACTTGTGCGTATATCTATTTAACGGCACTATTCAACTATAACTTCGCGTATCGCGCGCGACTGCGAGAAGATGTTAAGATCGCACGCGGCTAGCGAGGTCGTTTTAATTAACGACGCGAGAGCGTCTTGAGAGCGACTGATCGCGACTGCGACTCTAGCTCCCTTTTTATAATATCGCTTTTTGGAATTTCCTTGATCGGAAGGGGTGCCTGGCAATGGGCCTCCTCGGTCAAGAACCTAGGTGCAAGCGAAGCAGATTCAAAGTCCTTCTGCTTTGCTTGCACGTTGAGCAATTTCGGTTCCATGTATATCTCGCAGCGTATGCGTTTTTATGCGGTCAGTGTCCGTCGTCAAGCGGATGTAATACGAATAATTATACATTAATAGTTATATCTCTTAGGGATATAACAATTAATATTTGATAACAAGATATATATATATATATATATATATATATAGTCAATTCACAAATGAACATAGACAGGTGATATACATAAACGATACCATCAAATACAAAGAAATAATATGCTTAATTATAACACCACTGATGTTGAATAAATGAATAAATACAATAAGAATATAACTGAACATAGATGAGGTAATATAATTTAAAATCTTATATAATGTCACTAAATAATTTATGTATCACCATAAGCGTTTAATATAGTGACAAACATAATGAAAATACAACTAAAATATCATAAAATCATATATGAAATTGCAATGAAAAGAAAGGCTAAAATTATGTACTTAAGTGACAAATATCTTGTTATCAAATATTAATTGTTATATCCCTAAGAGATATAACTATTAATGTATAATTATTCGTATATATATATATATATATATATATATATGTAAGATATATGCGTGCGTCCGGCGGAACTCGTCATATTGCGTATTATACATCTTTCACAACTGTTCATTGCGTGCGCATCCGAGCAGGAGCGTAACAGGAGTGGGGCACTGTTCGAAGATTCTGCTCCAAAAAGACCGGCGACTAACTGTCACTCTCTTTTGAGAAGCGCTATACGAGGGTCACTATTTATATTTCGGGAGTAGGAACAAAAACAAATAGTTAAGCTGCGAATATATTTTTATTGTTTTTCAAAGTACTCGCCACAATGATCGATACACTTTTGCATGCGCTTAAACCAATTTTCAAAGCATTTATTCCATTCCAAATGAGGTATCTCCAAAACATGATTTTTGAACGCTTCAATAGCTTCTTCGGGCGATGAAAATCGTTGACCACGCAGTTTATTCTTCACGGATGGGAACAAAAAGAAATCATTGGGTGCCAAATCAGGGCTGTACGGCGGATGACCCATCAATTCGATGTATTGAGTGCTCAAATAGTCTCTTGTTTGAGCCAATGTGTGAGAGCTCGCATTGTCATGATGAAGAACAATCCGACGTCTCTTGTTTGTTTTCCTTATTTTACCAAAGATTTCTGGCAAACAGATGGTTGTGTACCACTCAGAATTTACTGTTCTACGATCCTCTAGAGGCACTGTTGCAATATGACCAGTTTTTCCGAAGAAACAGGCTACCATTTTCTTTGAAGTGCTTCGTGCGCGAACAACTTTTGTTGGATTTGGTTCATCTTAGAACACCCATACAGTCGACTGCTGCTTACTTTCGGGCTCATACAAATATATCCATGATTCGTCACCTGTCACGATTTTATAAACGTCTTTTGGAGCACCGCGATTGTATTTCTTAAGCATTTCTTTGCACCAATCGACACGAGCCTTTTTTTGAGCGATTGTCAAATTATGTGGGATCCAACGCGAACATAACTTTCGCACAGCTAAGTGTTCATGTAAAATCGTATATATGCTGGTGGAACTAATGCTTAGGGATGCCTCAATCTCACAATAGATTACATGACGATCTTGCTTAATCATTTCGTGCACAGCATCGATGTTTTCTGGCACTACAGTCGATTTTGGACGACCTTCACGAAACTCGTCGGACAGCGAACTACGACCACGATTGAATTCACTATACCAGCGATACACAGTGGTTTTTGATGGAGCTTCATCGCCAAAAGTCAAATTAAGTTGATTGACGCACTCTTGTTGTGATAATCCACGTCGAAAGTCGTAAAAAATCATCGCACGAAAATGTTCACGATTCAGTTCCATTTTTTGCCGAGACGAAACTTTCAACTAAATATAAAATAAACAAATAGCGTCCGTATGACAAAATGTTCTGAGTACGTATATCGTCAAAAATGTCAAACTTTACGATGGAACCGTCAGATGGACTCACATGACATCAGTGTTGCCAATTCCCGAAATATAAATAGTGACCCTCGTTTGTTGTCGATAAGAAATATACGTGCGGGAGTCATTAGTTTGTACTTAGGAAATAAATTAAGAACAAGAATCATCTTTCAACTTCAGAAATGGGATTCAGCTCAGGCTTCACAGAGATCCAGAAGCAGAGGTCATTTGGGACAAAGAGAATAATAAAAGAGTTGTTAAAACACAGGTACACAGTTGTTAAAACAACGGCTTTTTTAAATTTAACGAGAAAAGTATTCTACTTGCATGAAAACTCGAGCTCGCGGTAAAATGGATCGAGCACAATTAGAAAATCTCTCTCACGAGGAGCTGAGATTAGAGGCATCGAAGTATCGGTTGCCAATCTCGGGAAATCGAAACTCGCTCATAGACGTGATCATGACACATCTAGAGACTCATGGTCCGGTCGAGGAGATGATGCAGTTGGCTTCTCCGAGACCGACGACTTCGGGTGCTATTCCGAAGAAGGCTGCGCAGCAACGACGAGACTCCCAGGAATCGGCGGATGTCCTCAAGCAGATGCTGGTGGCGATGCAGAGGCAGCACGACCAGATGGGAGCGGCGATGTAGCTACAACACGAGACATTAGGACAGATTCTCCAGTTGCTAATTGATCAGAGGGAGGCGAGACCGGCGCAAACGCAGGCAGGCATGGCGAGGGAGGTTGAGCGAGATACTTCACCTCGTGTGTCCCCGTAGGAGGAAGCAGGACGGCGCTCGACGGAGTCGTGGTCGTCAGGATCGGCGGTGCAGGCGTTGGCTCATCAAATCCCGGAGTTCGGTGGCACGGAGGACGACAACGTCCACTCCTGGGTCCGCAGAGTGGACAAGGTTGCTCAGGTCCACGGAGCGACGGACGGAGCGACATTATTGGCAGCATCGAGTAAACTGACCAAGTCGGCTAGGCGATGGTTTGACGTCCAGGGAGATCTGGTCGTTGAATCCTGGGTCGGCTTGAGGTCAGAGTTATTAAAAATCTTTGACAGGAAAATTTCATTTTATAGATCCATGCAAAAAATTGAGGCAAGGAAGTGGACTTCCAACAAGGAGACATTCGAAGATTACGCCATCGATAAGCTGGCGCTGATGCACCAGATGGACATACCTAATCGTGACAGGATCCAGTTGCTGGTGAGCGGAATAATGCCGACATCACTCAGAGCGACGGCGCTGGCGGTGTCCGACGACACTTTGGAAGGCTTTTTGGCGAGGATGCGGACAATCACCCAGGGCGCCACGGACTGGGAGAGGAAGCCGTCATCCCAAGGGCAGCAGCCGAAGCCGATGGACGGAGCCTGCCGGAACTGTAGAAAGAAAGGGCACACGTTCAAGGAATGCAGAAACGAGGTAGCGTGTTTCTATTGCAAAGAAAGAGGGCATAGGCGATTCGACTGCCCGATTTTAAAAAAGAAGGAGTCTAAGACTCCCGGGCGAGCGCAGAATTCCTCTGGAATTGCGGCGGCGAGTGTGTCTGCGGATACTCATGCGTCTGATAGCGTCGCGGTAGTCCAGGCGGAGCGTACTTTATTGTCAGTTACAGATCCGTTTATTAGAGTTAGTTACCTGGAAAACAGGCGTTGTAATTTGACCGCGTTAGTGGACACCGGTAGTCCGGTATCATTTATAAAGAACAATATTTTGGAAAAATTTATAGAGCCGGGAAATAAATTATTAAAAATTAAAAGTCCGTTGCGGAACTTGTCAAATAAACCACTTAAAATTTTAGGCATATATAAAAGTAAAATCGGGATATCATGCCTAGAAAACCGGATAATTTCAGTAAATTTGTATGTTCTCGACTCGAACACCTTTCAAGGAGACATAATTTTGGGACGCGAGTTTATAATTGAGGAAAAGTTTACATTTGTTTATGAGCCAGGCGCGAAGGGCGACCGAGACAAAACCAATTTGTTTGCGTATTTACCGCTTTGTATCGAGGCCGAGCAAAACAATCTGGAACAAATTATTAAAAATCACAACATAGATTTTGACACCGAGACAAAAGACAAATTAAGTAAACTTGTTTGTCATATAAAAAACCAAAATATCGTACCGGTCGAAGATAATAACACCGTCGAAGTTCATCTTAAAGACCCGTCGATTTACGCGTTCGCTCCGAAACGTTTCGCGAATGCTGAGCGGTTGGAACTCAGAAAAATCACCGATGATCTTCTCGAACGGGGAATAATTCAGCCTAGTATCTCCCCGTATTGTGCTCGAGTAGTTCCTATAAGGAAAAAGAACGGGCAAATGAGATTATGTGTAGATTTGAGGCCGTTGAATAGTCGGGTTATCAAGCAGAAATATCCGTTTCCAATTATAGAAGACTGTCTCGCGAAACTCAGCAATAAAAAAGTATTCACATTGTTAGACTTAAAAGACAGTTTCAATCAAATAAAAGTACACAAGGATTCAACTAAATATTTCGCATTCGCTACGCCAGACGGTCAATTCGAGTATACTCGCTTACCTTTTGGTTATTCAGAATCACCCGCGGAATTCCAGAAAAGATTGATACGGATCCTCAATCCGTTGATTCGTGCGGATAAAATACTTGTATATATAGATGATGTTTTGATTCCGTCCGAATCCGTCGAGGAAAATCTTGAAATGTTAGAACGTGTATTAATTATTTTGAAAAGCCATAATTTTCAATTAAATTATGAAAAGTGTAAATTTTTGAAAAAAGAGATAGAGTTCTTAGGATATAGGATTTCAGAAAACGGGATTACACTTAGTCCGCGACATACAGAGGCAATAAGAATCTATAGTCCTCCGAAGGACCGATTACAATTGCAAAGGTTCTTAGGCCTCATCAACTATTTTAGAAAATTTATCAAAGATTACGCTATTAAAATTAGGCCATTGCAAAATCTCATGAAGAAAAACGTGCCTTACAGTTTTGATAGTTCGTGCCTAGAAGCGTTTAACTCACTAAAGAGGGAATTGACCTCACCTCCGGTGTTGAGTTTATATAATCCCTCCGCAGAGACTCAGCTTCATACAGATGCGTGCAGTCTAGGGTACGGGGCGATTCTGTTGCAGTGGCAGCAGGAGGGGAAATGGTCCCCAGTAGCGTACTTTAGCTCCGGCACCAATGCGGCTGAAAAGAATTATCACAGCTACGAGTTAGAGATGCTAGCTATAGTGCGTGCGATAGAACGATTTCACGTGTATCTCTACGGTATTGAATTTGCAGTTATTACGGACTGTAATGCTATTGTTTATGCAGTTAATAAGGCGAATCTGAATCCGCGTATAGCCAGGTGGACATTGGCTCTTCAGAATTATACTTTTACCATAATGCACCGTCCAGGAAGTCGCATGGCTCACGTTGACGCCCTCAGCAGATGCGTGGCCCATGTAGACGAGCTTCCATTGGAGAGGCGTTTAGAGTTTTTACAGCTGTCCGATCCAAGAATTCTGGAAATCAGTCAGCACCTAGAAGTAGAAGATAGTGATAAATTTGAGTTAAATGACGGTTTGGTATATAAAAAAATAGAAGATAGACTTAAATTCGTAATTCCGGAGTCAATGGTGACAAATATGTTGCGTGTCCACCACGATGATTTAGCTCACTGCGGCGCTGAGAAAACATATCAAAGCCTTAGTAAAAATTTCTGGTTTCCGACAATGAGAAAGAGAGTACAGGATTATATAAATAATTGTCTCACCTGCGTGATGTCAAATAGCTCTTCAAATCGTTTTGAGGGGGAAACACAAGTGTACCCTTTCCCCACGATGCCACTTGATATTATACACATTGACCACTTCGGTCCGTTACAAGAATCTGCAGACAATTATAAACACATTTTAATAATAATTGACGCCTTTACGAGATTCACATGGCTTTTTCCTACAAAGTCTACTGGGACTAAAGAAGCTTTAATTTGTATTAATAACATAATATCAGTTTTTGGGAAGCCTTAAGAAATAGTTTTAGATAGGGGTTCGGTATTTACATCAAAAGAATTTTTAGAATACATTAAAGACAAAAATATCAAGCATCGGAAGGTTGCGGTGGCAGCACCTTGGGCAAATGGTATGGTTGAGAGGGTGAATAGATTTATTAAGTCATCTCTCACCAAATTAATAGATACTCCAAGCGAATAGAAAGAACGGTTAAACACAATGCAATATGTACTTAACAATACTTACCATTCCGCTATAAAGGCTACTCCGGTAAAAATTATGTTTGGCTTCGACCAACGTGGCCACAATGATAGTTCTCTAGCCAGGTTTACGCAAGCTCTCATCAATACTGACGTGAATCTGGAAAAAGATAGAGAAAATAGTAGAGAAAATGCATTGCGGGCAACTGAGGTAGTCAGAGAATATAATAAGATGTATCGGGACAATCATTCCAAGAAACCGACAGTGTATAACATAGGAGATTGTATTCTCGTTAGGGACGATCGAGGAAAAATAGGAATCAGTTCTAAGTTAAAACCGAATTATAAAGGGCCTTACCAGATTGCAAAGGTTCTAGGAAACCATCGGTACGTAGTGCAGGATATTCCGGGTTTCAATATAACCCAAAAACCTTTGAACACTATACTATCTTGCGATCGTATTAAACCATGGGTCAAGGCGCCGGAAAAATCTATAGAATAAGTGTTAATTAAATGTAAAATGATTGTAGTAAATATAAGTTAATGTATAGTTATAATAGTAGTAATGTAAAAAGAGAAAAAAAGAGAGAAAGAATGTAACTCGATAACGTAGTCTAACGCGATGTACATATGATAGGCTAGCGATGTATTGTTCATCATTAAATATTGTTATCTGTAAACTTACTAATTTGTTTAAAATAAACTTCGAGGCGAAGTTCATATCAGGCTAGCCGAGCTGTAAGATATATGCGTGCGTCCGGCGGAACTCGTCATATTGCGTATTATACATCTTTCACAACTGTTCATTGCGTGCGCATCCGAGCAGGCGCAACACAGGAGCGTAACAGGAGTGGGGCACTGTTCGAAGACCCTGCTCCAAAAAGACCGGCGACTAACTGTCACTCTCTTTTGAGAAGCGCTATATAGTTGTCGATAAGAAATATACGTGCGGGAGTCATTAGTTTGTACTTAGGAAATAAATTGATTAAGAACAAGAATCATCTTTCAATATATATATATATACAGGGTGTAAAAAAATTAGACCGACAAACTTTGAGGGAAAATAGAGGATAAAAACAAACATATTTTGTTAATAATATTTTTCTCTACGACGCTTCGTTTTAATATTACAGGGTACAAAATAGGAATTTTATGATTTTAACAAAAAACAAACACATAAGTGGAAAAATTAAATTGATTTCAATTACACATTATATATTTTAATCTTCAAAAAACAATTAACAAAAGAACGGAACAAAAATTCGCAAATAATTAGCTCAATTTATAATAAATGTTCAAAAATTCCTCCATTTGTTTCAACACAAAAATGACAACGTCGAAATTCGGATTAACGATTCTGTTTCTGTTTCAATGCTTCATCGATAAGAGTTGTAAAAGTTAAAGATATAAAAATAAAGTAAAAGTAAATACAAAATACCCTTGTGAAGCACGCTTCATTAATAAACAGTATTGAGGGCAAACAGCCCGACAAAAACAGTACGTGCAATCCACGTTATAACGTGGATTCCACGTACTGTTTTTATCAGGAGAGGACTTCAACATAAACATTTTTTGTTAATATTTCTCTCTACGATATTTCGTTTTGGTCTTAGTCTATGTAGTATTTATTCAAACGCTCAATGGAGCAGAAGTCTTCAATTCTATCTTACTAAATTTAATATGATTTGTTTATCATTATGGAGCGATATACTTGGATTGAATTGAGTGACATGCATCTTACTTATGGAGCAGCTAATTGCAATGGACGGGCAGCACAGAGACTTTATCAACAACGATATCCTGGTCGCCGCATTCTACATCATTCCATTTTTGAATCCATTCATCGGCATTTGCGAGAGAATGGTTCTTTTAGAAGATCGAATGGACAAGGACGACGACGTTCAGTGAGAACTCTGCGATTTGAAGAGCAAGTTTTGGCAGAAATAGAAAACAATCCTTCCACTAGTACACGTGCAATTGCATTGAACATTGGAACAAGTAATATAAATGTATGGAATGTTCTTCGTGAACAATTATTACATCCATTTCATCGGCAACGTGTACAAAGTTTAACATTTGAAGACTATCCACGACGTTTAGAATTTGCGCGATGGTATTTGCAGCAGTGCGAAACACACCCCGAATTTTTTTCTTTAGTACTATTTACTGACGAAGCAAGTTTTACAAGAACAGGCATGTTTAACACTCACAACTCTCACGTTTGGAGTCAGGATAATACTCATGCTACATTTATTCGATCACATCAAACGGAATTTACGGTTAATGTATGGGCAGGTATTATTAATATTCCTTATCGGGCCGTACATTTTACCTTTAAGACTGAATGGCAATATTTATCGTATTTTTCTCGAGGAAGTGTTACCAGAACTCATGGAAGACGTGTCACTTGTCACAAGAAGGCAAATGTGATTCCAACACGATGGAGCACCTGCCCATTTTAGTACTATTGTGCGCAATTACTTGGACCAAAGATTTAATGAGCGCTGGATAGGCTGAGGAGGTCCTATCGCATGGCCTCCCCGGTCACCAGATTTATCTTCGCTTGACTTTTTTTTATGGGGGCACATGAAAACTCTCATTTATGAGACACCGATTGAAACAGAAGAAGAATTAGTAGCCCGAATTACTGCTGCGGCATATCAGATTCAAAATATTCCTTCAGTCTTCGAACGTGTGAGAGAATCAATGTTTCGATGTTGTCATCTTTGTATTGAAGCAAATGGAAGAATTTTTAAACATGTATTATAAATTGAGTTAAAAAAATTAAAATTATATGTGTAATTGAAATCAATTTAATTTTTTCACTTATATGTTTGTTTTTTGTAAAAATCATAAAATTCCTATTTTGTACGCTATAATATTAAAACGGAGCGTCGTAGAGAAAAACATTATTAACAAAATATGTTTGTTTTTATGTCCTCTATTTCCCCTCAAAGTTTGTCGGTCTAATTTTTTTACACCCTGTATATATTGTATTGTTTGCATACTCAATTCTGTTCGGATGATACTTATTCTTTTCATCTATGCACATTTATTTTACCTGTCAGTAATAAGGATTATTTTTTAACTTACTTTCATACAGTCTACTTTAAAGTTACCATATATTATACGATTTCATTTTGAAGAATCTCCTTATGCTCAGTCATGTAATGTCTTTATGTACGAACGTATTTGTTTTATGTTATTATATGCTTATGTTATAATTGTCCTTATATGCTCTTGTTATAATTGTCATTGTATGCTCATGTTGTATTTCTAGTATTTAACTTGTGTTATTATTCAAAAAGCTTATGTTGTCATGTAAAGAGATTTATCTTTTTTATTCAGATGTTGATTGAATTTCATTAATTAAATACCGATAAACTTTTCATGTGCTTAATTCACGAACAGGGTTGATTACATACATATATAAAGAAAATCAAAGGATTTTCTTTCCGCCTATTTTATACAGTCTACTTGTTATTATTATTATCATTTTATATTGTATATTCAACTTTATGTAATTTTGAACATTTGGTTCTTGTTCAAATGTGAGAATCTCATGTTGCATACTAGTTCTTATTTAAATATAAGATTCGTTGATTGTCAAACTTGGTATGTAGTATTAAATATAATTTCAATATTGTTTAAATAAACCATTGGGGTTTAACTTGAAAAATAAATTGATTGTATATTAAAGGAGCTATCATTTGTATGAATATTGGATTCGGTATCCCGAAGACATAAGGTTTTCAAACAGCGTACATACGATTAATTATGTGAGACGTTGGTTAGATGATAATTATATTTTAATAAGAACGTTTTCCAAGTTGCGGTTTCTAAAACAATGTAAATATCACAAGCTATTCCCGAAACATTTGAAACATTTTTGTAACGATAGATTTAATGTGTGTCACTATAAGTCTTTACGTAAACTAAACAAAGTACTGCACAGATTAAAAACAGAAATTTTAAACATAGAAATATTTGATCTACACAGAATGGCTGATTCCTCACAAAAAAAACCTCATCAAATATTCTCAGATTCTCATTAACATTCTTCCTCCTTACATATGGAATGGGATTATAAACCATCATACTATCTCATTCAATAACTACGGCTCAAATTATATCATATACATAAGAAAAAATTCACATGGCTAACTAAGTTAAAAAAAGCTGAATATATCAACAGTATCAAGCCGATTAATTTTAATTGTGTCATTGGTAAAAAAGAATCCTCTCAGTCTAACAGATACACATTATCAACAATAACGGAGAATAGAGATGTCAACATTATTAATAATTTGATTACACCAAAAGAATTTGCTGGAAAAGAAGTCAATCCGTTGAATCGCACTAACGAAAAATGATTCATTAATCTAACGGACACACAAATCCCACTCAATGTTACCAATTTGTTACAAATGGGCAGCAAATTTAGCCTTCCATTAAACATAGACAAAAGAACCGCTATTTATGAGTTCATCAAAGATTTAGAATGCAATACCAAGAGGAATAAAGTCATGAATCTTACTACGATTCGCAACATAGCAATTCCTCAACTTTCGAATTTTTTAAACAATGGGTCTAAAAGACACAAATTAAAATAGATTCTATGATAAAAACAACGAGTAAATTTATTAAACAGAATCCTGACATTCTATTCACAAGAGCGGATAAGGGAAATGCTACTGTAG